TTTACTTTTAAAACTTATAAAAAAAATTATAGATCAATTTCAATTATTTTTTGAGATAATTTTATAAAAAGTATTTATAAACTTTAATGAGGTATCCACGTAACTTACTTAACAATGTAATCTTCATAATGTGGGATTAAGTGTGAACATGCCTACTATAACTATCATGCAACTGTATAACTGGAAAGAACTGAACTTAAGCCTTATCTTGGTCATTAAGGACATGTAACATTATATTTATGGTCTTTAACCTCGAACCTATTCTTACATAACAGTACTACAATAATAATAGTTCAATTTTTATGGGTGATGTGTTTGAACCTCACAAAATTATTTTTTTTCTCAATTAATATTTGTAATTAATTTTAATCTATTCAGAAAAAATTTTAGTGCTAATACTATATATTTATCTAAAAATATTTGGAGCAGGAAAACTTTGTGATCGGTGGTTCACTACTATAAATATTGGTGCCAGCACCATACATATATATATAAATATATTAATCAGAGGACTTGTTAATTATACTTAGGCTTTCGATCCAGTGGCGTGAGATCACATATAAGTGTATTTTTCATTTTTTCAAAGTAATAGTTCAAATTTGACCCTTTGTGAATTTGTTAAAAAAAAAAAAGACTTGTTAATCTTAGTAAAAAAATTTAATATTTAATAAATAAAAAGATAGGTGGTGAAATAATTTTTTTTTATATATTCAATGATCAGCTTAAAAAAAATTCTTAAGATGTATAACATTAAACAAGATATTTTATTTTATAATTTAAACTAATTTAATTGTAAAATAGGAATCAGTCTAATAGTAGTGAGAGAGTTTTAATATCAAGAAATCTGACATCATCAAATGAATAATATTTTATAATTTAAATTAACTTAAATTGTACAACACTTTTTTAAATAAAATAACATTCTTTTTATTTCTTAAGCTATTCTACCCTCAACCATTTACATGTTTTGTCATTTTAACTTAAAATCTTTTCTTTAAAAAAAAAAAATGTTATCAATCACTTATTTAAATAATAAAAAGTATTAATACTACGGTAGAATTTGCACCTGCCCCTTGAGGCCTAGTGGCAATACCCACCTCGGTGCATTCCCCCCTCCCGAGCTGGGTTCGAAACCCGCCCCTTGCAAATATGTTCAAAAAAAAAATATACTACGGTAGAATTTATTGAAATGCTTGAAATTATTAGTTTAGCAATTTAGATTAATAAATAATAAAATATATTTAAATTATAAATAATAATTGCCATTCGTCAAATACTATCAATTGGGTAGGTCTATCACTACACTATAAATAATTAATATCATTTTTTAATATAATTATTTAGTATATTTTTACATTATATTTTTTTATTTTTTATAAATTAAAAAATATAATAATCAATTAAAAAAATGTTATATTAATTTTTAAAAGTATAACAATAACGTCTCGCAATCAACTACTTTAAAATGGTGAATTCAAACACTTTTTTTATATTTATTGTTGTAGTTCAGGTTAAACTGAACATAAATTACTATAGTTCAATTTAACAGAAGTTAGTTCAAATTAAAAACCTTATATTAATGAATTAAGCATTCATGATAATTTATTAAGAATATCTTCACAATTTTCAACTGACATTTCTTTTGTCCGTTTAGATAAAGGAAAAAAAAAATCTACAATTTTCCATCCTAAAGTTGGAATTTGGAGGAAAAATAAAGAAATTAAGTTGTCATCGATGTATCAAACCAATAGATCAAACAAACCTAGTCAAGACCCGTTCAACAATGTGCATAAGCCACCAAATGGGACAAACTCTTTTATTCACCGAGAAACTAATGGTAAAGAAAAGGGAATTAAAAAAGGTGGGACATTATGTAAAATTTGCATGTGAGTATGTAGGGGCGGGGGGTAAGATCAACATCATCCGACATAGTGTCAAGTAGAAAGAAACTCCTACTTCCTGAGCCTTTGAATAAGACATTTCTCCTCCCTGCAATTGGCATGTTTTTAGGCTGTATTATTCTCTACTCCCTTTGCCCCCCTGCACCAATGCACAATGCATGGTTTGCTTTCTCCCCCACATGGGTCCCAACTTTTATTTATGGACATTTACATCTCTGAACACAGTACATTTTACTGAGAAATTTCATTGTTCTTGATATCAAATCAAATCCCTTTCTATTTGAATGGAAATTTGAGTGATTTCCACATATTTTGATTTCTATGTTGAGCAACACAAGGCAATGCTAGTTATACAAAACTATCTTTTATTTTACCAAATTTTGTTGTAATTCATTTAATTAATAACTTTTCAAATAATAAAATCTATTCATTTAACTCCTCTGGATTTGGATTTTAAACCACGGTCTAAATGGATGCTTCCGTATTCTGAAAACAGAGATTTTAGAGTTAAGGAGAGATTGAGACTCTGGCTGGAAGAAAGCAGCAGCGTGGAGGTTTCTTTAAAGGAAACAGGAGGACCGATTCAGAACAGTAATAGACCTTATAGATGTTCCAAAGGGCTGCACCGAAACCGTCCCTTTTGTATAGGCCATGGAGAAGATGACATTTCACAAATAATATGTTTTTATAACCCATTTGCTCTCATGTTGGTTTGAGAAAAGGCCAAAACTGAGAAAGGAAAATGGGGAAGAAAAGCTGGAAAATTCTTGAATCACCATGCTATTGAAGTTCAACAAAGATGAGATCATCATCTTTCAATCTTCAACACAGACATACATAATAAAGTCAAACAAATTAATAGCAACATAAATCTAACTTTTGGCTTTATATTCTTGCCCATATGATCGATAAGATTTTGAGTGAGAAGAATCCTGCACCCATATCCCAAATATAGCATCTGAGACAATTTAATTTGGCATCCATCACAAGAGCCGATGTCTTACTAATAAACTTCCCAAAGCATGATCAGAGAAAAGAGGACTAAAGAGAACAGAAGGTGGTTTGGGGGAAAGAGACAGGGGAAAGAAGAATAATTTTTTTATCTGTTTCAAAGTTTTCTCAAAGATTCCTAGAAACCGCTACTGTTCTGCTTGGTAGTCTGACGGTTCAATCAAAGAAGATACGGCAGAACAGCAATAATCTTTGTTTCAATAGAAGCAGCAACCTTTCCTCCATTAGACTAAGGCACTGGACTTTGCAGCTTAAGTTTTGGTCAGCCAAAGAGAAGATTTTTAGGACTTCTTCTTCTTGCTTCAATCCAGTAAAGTGGTCCAAGCCTCCGCTTGGTTGGATGAAACTGAGCTCTGATGGTTCAGCATTTAGTAACCCAGGGAGTGCAGGAGCAGGTGTAGTTATTAGAGATGACAGAGGAAACTGGGTTGTTGGATATGCCAAAAAGCTTGGCATTGGATCTAACAACATGGCTGAACTCTGGGGTATTTAAAAAGGAGTAGAAATTGCTGAGAAATATGGGCATCAAAGCACTGGAAATTGAAACTGTGATTCAATGTTTGTTTTGAATATCCTGTTCAAAGCTGTTAGAAGCGCTAATGATACTACTGGGCCACTGGTTGATTCATACAGGTTGTTGATCCAGCAGCTGGAACAAGTAAGAATTGAGCATGCCTATAGAGAGACTAATGAAATTGCCGATGCACTGACCAAGTTTGCAGCAACAACGGAGAAACAATTTGCTTTGCTGTGAACGCCACCAAGCGGCTCGATAGGCTGCGCGCCTCATTGAGGGGATGGGATGTTCACTTGATCTAAGATCGAATCTCCAGTTGCTAACCACTAATAAAACTAATTTACTAATCATTACTTTTGTAAAAAAAAAAAAATTTTGCTTTGCTGTTTTTTATTATGTTCCTAATATTTTGTAGGCCAAGTTCACTCACCAATGATAGGCCCGAAACTTTAGTGTTTCGGATAATGGTGTAGGACTTAATTTTTAGGGCGCCACAAGGCCCCCCCTAGGGGTGGGTAAAACCGGTTTTTGGTTAAAACAGAAATCGGTTTTAAAATAATTGAAATTTTTTTTTAATTTTAAGAACCGAAACCGAATCAAAATTATCAAAAATTGATCGGTTTGGTCATCAATAAAATTGGTTCGGTTTTGGTTTTTGATAAATAAATAATAATCAATTATTTTTTTAATAATATATTATATTTTATCGCATATTTTATCATATTTTGTCATATTTATCTTAATTTCGATTTTTAGTGAACTTATTTTTGGTTTTTGATTTTTAAAAGGCTCAACCAAAATCAAACCAAAATATATTCAGTTAATACTAAAACCAAAAAAATAAAAACTAAAAACCATTGAAACTGAACCAACTTCATTTTTTTGGTTCGGTTTTCAAGTAACTCATCGGTTTGGTTTCAAATGCCCAGCCCTTGCCCCCCACAAAAAAAAAAAAAGATGAAGAAAAAACGAAAGGAAAGAAGGATGCCATCTCAAACTCAGAAATGGGTTTTATAGGATCTGCTTACAAGCTGCATGAGGCATATTGGTATGTTTATTTAGGAATGAGGAAACTCCATAGGAATGCATGGTGACCAGCACAGGTATTCAATACGTGTGGTTGATCAATGATCTTAAAAAGGATTCTGTCCGCTGATCTGTTTATTCTTATTTACTTCAATTTCCATGTTAAACACATGTAGGTTAATAAGGTACTTTTCATTAGCGGAAGAGACCAACCAGAACCCACAATTCCTTTCCTTTTCCTATATTTTCTAGACTACCAAACAACCACACATTAGATACAAACGACTACACAACAATCAAAAGGAATAACAATAACGTTGCAGGAACTTACTGTTGACATTAATGGTGAGATGTGATGGGTTAGATGCGAGTGCGAGGAAAATGCAACAGATGGGAAATGAGTACTGATATAACCATAGCGTATTGAGAGAAGGACCCTCTGCAGACCATCCGGGACAGCAACTGGTTTAACCAATTAGCTCAGTTGCTTCTTTTCTTGTGGTATGCAAACCTGATTTGGAAATTGGAAAGGGTGGTTATTGCAGTGTTGACTTTATTTTTGCTGAAGTTGCTAACATTAGAGTCCTGACTTTAGAGTTAACTTCGTTGTAATCACAAAATTTCAAAACTAAGAGGTTGAATACTAGTTTCATAAGTAGTTACAAGTCACAAACCATGAAACTGGGAACTGCGTTGAAGAAACTTTGGTTTTCAAAGACTGACATGTTCTCAGACCAAGGCCACAAATTTATTGCATTTTTGAGTTTCTAAACTAAAAGTGTACCAACAAAGACCACGAAGTCTTATTGCTTCTAGAGTATTAGGTTTGGTTTCTTGACTAGGATGTACGTCTCTTAGAGCCATTCATTTCAAAATCAAAGCATCACACAATTATTTGAGTTTTAAAAATGAGGGGTAGGGGATTTGGGTAAGACTTACAGAAGTATAGTAATTGGATATATACTAACTCTCTAACTCTTGGTTTCTTACCTGCTTTTATTTATTATCAAGACTTGGCTTGACAGTATGCAGGTTGCACCTGCCCTAAAGGGTGAGGTTAGGTGTATTATGATATTATGGAACTTCTTAGTACATAATAGTTAGATGGGGAAAAACATAGCTAACCTACACAAGATAGCATAATGAAGATCAGTAAATAATAAAAGCAAATGACTTGACATTTGATTTTTTAAGACATCCAATGAAATTGCTCTCATGATTATATACAAATGAAGCAAATAATTGCGCCCCAGATGTAAGAATAAAGATCATTTATACACAATTGTTGGTCTCAGACATACATAATAGTTCACCAATACAAACAATTTCAATAATAATCAAGATAGATGATAGTAAATGACCATGTTATGCAAGACCTCCATTTAAAATATTCTGTTGAAAACATTGATAAATCTTGATATTGAAATATGCAACTCAATTCCATAACTAAAGACAAAACTCAGCCTTGGAATCATGATAAACATAAGAATTACATAATAAATTAAACTAAAAACAAATTGCTCGAATCAAAAGTTAGAAAACTGGCTGAAATGACATTGCTACATTTCCCATAATGTTACATATCACCTATGAGGTGGTGGGTTACAAGAAATAAAACATCTACGGTCAAACAAACAAAGGCAAAGAAAGAAAACTAAAAATAGTACCTAGAATGTTCCCAAAGCAAGCCTCAGCCTTCCTTTCCCTCTTGGTCTTAATATAACAACTCTGCAACTCTTGCTAGAGGACTGGAAGCATTTGTGCATTGTGCTTCCTTCCGTTATACTCAAAATTACAAACGAAATGAAATCAAATTCCAGATAATTATCCTCACAATGGGTTCTTTCGGGGCCTTCCCCTCTTCCTTGGGGCCGAATTAGTTGCATTTCTAGCAGAAATATTCACAGATGGCACCACATTCCCCCTTCTCTCAGCCCCTCTATTGGCTGTCGCAGCAGCAGGCGCTGGTGCAGCAGTAACACGACCACCAGCATTTTTCTCACTCTCCTGCTGCGATGGAAACATTGGTGGCATCCAATTGGGAAACACGACCCCTGCTCCGGCAGGGGCTTTTCCATCACCATCCGGCTTTCCCATCACAAATCCTAAGGGAAAAAACGACCAGCAGCAGTAATAGGCGTCCTTTCCGGGGACCATGGGCGGCAAATTGTGAATCAACACCGCTTGGAACGCTCGATTGCAATTCTGGCACTTCAAACAGCAACCTTCGTAAACCCTAGGATACTCGAACAACCTGTAACAGTACGGGCATGCAGTCCAAAATGTTGACAATCTTGACCTTAGATCTCCCGAACTGCTGTTACTGTTATTAGCATCTGTTGATTTCTTTACATTTCTGGTCTGATTCAACTTCTCTCCCCTTCTGACCGGCAACTTGGAGTTACTGCTGCTCAAATCCACCTTCGAGAACATAGTCAATTCCTTGTCGTAAAGTTCTTTTTTTGAAGAGTTAGACAGAACCGCCCACGCGTCGGCGACGAGCTTGAAAGCCTGATCTGCAAAGGAGAACTTGTTCTTGTCCGGGTGGAGAAGGAGCGCGAGACGGCGGTATTGCTTCTTGATGAGATCGTGGTCGTCGGATCGACGGTCGATTTGCAAGATGGCGTACCAGTCGTGGTGGTTGTTTATGCGATTCTCCGCTGCAAGAAGCACGTCCACAACTGCCACGATTTGATCTGAACCCTCCAACAGCGGCTCAGTCTCCTGGGCCAAGACCGCGAAATCTCTGGAGGCGTTCAAATCGCGGTTCTGGAGCAGCTTCTCCGCCATCCCTAGAAGCCGTAAGGCTTCAGCCCTATTGGAGTTTTCCTCCATTTTCTGGCGTTAGCGTCTGTTTGGAAGGCGAGAAAATGAAGGTTATTATATAATATCCGAAGGTTATGGGTTGCTTTTTGGCCGAAGTCGAAAGGTTATAACTTACTGTTTTTTTTTTTTTTAAATTTCTTTTCCTTCAAGGTTAAAGTTAAATATGGGAATATGTAGATTTTGTGGAATAGACGAAATTGGGCTTCAATCTTGTTTAAACGAGAAAATGTGGCTATGGTAAGGGTGAAAAAGACCGAGGCATAATTGTCTTTTAATTGAGGCCAGTGATTTTCAGACAATAAGAACCTGGCACATAAATTCTGGAAAGTACAATACATTAGGTGAGTTGAGTTGCAAACTCGAGTCAGTTTTATGGGTTATGGCCGTATCTCAAATCCCACTCAGACTCAGGTAAATCATAAGGGGAGTATCTCATCACATTGGTTGGTGAAAACATTCAGGGGATATAAATTTTTTTTTAAAAAAATTTAAAAATATGAAGTTTTTGTATTTTTAAATTAGGTAATAAATTTTTATAGTATTTTTTTATTTAAAAATATTAATTTTATTATCATTTTATTTAAAAATATAAACTTTATTTCATTTTGATTAAAATTGTTATTTATCATGTCATAATTACCATTTAATAAATTCTCAAATAGGAAAAAAATATAAAATTTATATCTTTATTTAAAAAAAATATGAAAGTTTATCACATAATTAAGAAACTTGAAAATTTTGTTTCCTTAAATAAAAATAATAATAAAATTTGTATTTTTACTTCTTCCTTTTCAATGGTTGTTATTGGTTTCTTCATAAAATGATAAATGTTTAGTCCTAATGTATGCCTTTTGTAAGACCTTAATATTCCAAAAAAATCTAGGCAAATACGTCTATTGATGTTTAAGATTTTTTTTTTTTTTCTAATCGTGAAACTTATTAGTATTTTTTTGAACTACAATAAATATCATTAATGGTACGTTACAAGATATTTAACTTATCGCATTAATAAAAGAGTTTTATATTTTGTAATTTAGACAAAAAAAAAATCATTAGATACTAATGGTTTAAGTTATATAGTTTAACATAATACATTTTTGTTAATAAGAACTTTCAGAGATAATAAATATTTGAAGTCGAACATTACAATATATGAACCTCAACCTATTTCATCAAAGGCATTTTAGTTAGGGCTCCCAATTTATATTGTACTCCATAGAATGAGCAGAACCATTTTGCAATGTCATGGCTTGAAATCTTTCCTTTTCTACTTCCTCATTTCTACTATGTTACTGGAACTGTGCAGAAGCAAAACATGAAAGAAGAACAAGAAGGGAGAAAAGAGAAAACAAAGGAAATAAAGTTACCTAATCGAAGGAGGTCAAGGGGGATTAGAGGGAGAACAATAAAGGAGAAGGTTAATTAGTAGAGAGAAAGAGAAGAAAGCAAATGAGAAAGCCAGACTACATTGGAAAGGATAGCCATAGGGTTCTACAAAAAAGCTCCGGAAGTCGAACTTGTGAGAATGATTTTTCCAAGACAAAATTAATGCAACAAGTAACAAGAAATTTAAAATGTTTGGATTTTAAAAAGAAGAATATGCAATTTTTTGTTTTGTTAATTAAGATTGATTTTTAGTATTGTAAAAAAAAAATTTTAATATTAATTACAATTATAAGAAACATTAGGGGAAAATTAGTAAAAATCAAATGAAATAGACTTGTGCAATTGAAGACCCAAGCATAGTAGGAGGCAAAGAAGGGATGAGATAGGAACTTCTGCAATCTTATCATTCATCCCATCATCTAAATGATAAATTGAACATTTTACATTTTAGTTTCTATTGTTTGAAAGGTTCAAGGTTTTTCAATCTTGTTTGTTGGAAAAATAATAGCACAAGTAATGGGAATTAAAGAATTTATTTGCTTTTTGTATGATCTACTTAATGCACCAACTTTTTATTGGATTAGGTGAAGTTTAGCTCAAAGGTAAATGCTATTGATTGGTACTATTTTGTATAAAAGCAAACATAATAATTCACTAGTATTTCAATAGGGAATCTATAATCTTTTAAAGATTTCTCTAAACATCCCTTGCATAGGATTTCTATGTTGTACTCAAAAGGACTTTTCAGCAATATTACTTAGATATTAAAAGAATAATCTTTGTGTTAATAACTTAAATATAAATGAAGTTACTTTTTAAGTGTACTTTACAAAAAAAACAATAAAAATTTGAAAAAAAAATTCTAATTAGCATCAACAACAGCCTCACCTCATTAAATGCTAATTCCTTGTCTATGCTTAGTTTATAATTAATCCTCAACATATTGAAAATAGGTAAGGCATATTAGAAAGAATTTGCAACAATTTATCTTTCCACAATGCTCATTAAATATGTCAAGAATTTAATTATAAGCATTTTTATCTAAATGAACCAGAAGACACCAAACGGCTAAAAAAAAAAAAGAACCAAAGTTGAACAACTAACTTTAGAGTAAGTATGAGACCACCAAATTGAACATGAAAGGAATATAGTAAAGAATGATCTCTGGCTCAGTATTATGAAGAAAAATACCATACTATTAAAGAATCACTATCTATATGTTTTTTTATAAAATGAAAGTAGGCAATGTATTAAAAATCAACCTTAATTTACTTTTGAAAAATACAAACTTTTAATAAGTAATAAAAAGCAATATTATAATTACAGATGACATTCAATAATTACTTCCTTTAACCTCAATCAAGAATATTCATCCTTTCCCTATAGATGGAAAATTAATCAATGAGAAATATAACTTGCGTTTGTAATAAGGAGATAAAGTGAATCCAATCAAATTGAGGGAACTCTAGATGCTTGGCTTTCGTTGTTCCATCACTCATCTATAATATCATTAGTATCGTTAAGATAACCCTTAGTTAACTGCTTAGAGATCAAAAGTAATTTTAGTGAATATGTCTAAAGGCTAAATATTATTAAAGAAAAATTATTTACTAGTGGAAAGGTGATATTCATGAACAAGCATACAACATGTGTTGAGAAGAAAAAATAGCTTACCACATATCAATAGCATTCACTAACATTTGGTTACATAGGAAATTGAGTATTTACAATTGACTTTACTCTAAAAATGAGGTTTTGAGCCTTGATTTAAATGCTATCAAAATTGTTGAAGCCGTGAGAGCATTTCATTTGTATAATTGTATCATAGTTTTCTAAAGATAAAAATAGAAATACTGCAAGTGTTTGAATATTAAGTTAAATTTATATAAGAACTACCTGTGCTATGACCAAATCATCCTCACTAGGATAACACTATAAAGATGAAAACCATACATGTCAAATCCATAAGACAACAATTCAAGAAAAAAGAATAACCACTTCCATTGATGCAAATAGAACTTGGCAATTGAATTTAATTTGTTAGATAATGCTTTTTAAGTGCATATATAAGGCAGGACAAACAAGTACATAGTTAGAGATTAGTCTTTTCTTTTCTAAACAAAATTGCTTCCAACTCATTCCTTTTAGAAGCATAGAACCTCAATCAAGAATGAAGAACTAATAAAGAATTCATGCTCAAACTAATAATTAGTTATCAAGCTTAGTTCTTTTAATTAATTTAAAAGTTTTTTCAAGAGAACATTGAAAAGGAATCTTAAAAGTAAAGAGGAGTTTCAACAAATGTAAAATAATAAAAATCAAACTCTACAATAATAATAAGTAAGAAAAATATCCATAGCAAATCTAAGATAAATCAAACATTTCAAAAAATAATCTCTAAATTAAAATGTGAATTAGTGTGTATTTACATTAGAGTTTGCCATAAAAATTAAGAACACCTTATGGATTCTACATAATATATGTTAAATCAATAATTGCACCCGTTAACCAAAAAATTGTGCATTCTAAAACATCTTTAATGAGGGACTCAAAAATTGAAGAAACTAACTTCTTTAGGTTTTTTACTCTAACAAAATGATTTGACACTCTAGTCATGTCTTGCAAAGGGACATTAGATAGTTGATGATATAAAACATTAGGTAAAGCATAATATGGACTTTTGAGTTTCATAACGTTAATTAATCATACACGTTAATGTACTAGTTTCTTCACAAGACCTACAAACTCAGGAAATTCAAAATATATGTAATCAACTAGTATATTATTTAGTTCAGGAACACTGAACTTGATAGCTCTAAACTTTGTAAACAACCTAACACATAATAAATATAACTTATAATTTTGGAGTAGATTCATAATACCAATTGACATTGTCAAACTAAAAGTTTAGTTTTTGCATCCTTGGTCCAAATATGCATTTATGTATTCTAGGATTGTGGAGTCCAATAGTATTTTTTACATGCTTCATCTATCTTTTGCAAATCATTCTCTACATCCTAAATTAGTGTAAAGTTTGTACTCTCATATACATCTTTTACATCCTTCATCTATTTTTCCTTATTGCTAAGAGTCTAATTTAAGTTTAAAAAAATAACATATATGTCAATATTATATACCTATTATTAATATAATCTTTCAATACAATTTAGAGAGGTTGAATTTTATTTGCTAATTAAATTTTATAATTATGATAGATTTCATGGAATGAAAAATGAATATGTTGAATATTACGCCAAGTCTTAAATCAACTTATCAATATAACATACTTCATGTTACCAAGCATGGTAGAAACTAAGAAGTTTTAACAAACAATCAAATAGTTAATTTTTAATAATTTATCTAAGATATATAATGCATGTAACAACCCTTAAAGGAAATAAAGTAGTAGATCAACATATAAAATTAAAAAATCATGTTATATAATTCTATCATTAAAAGGTAAAAGAAAAATATATTCAAAAAACTAAATATTCTCCAAAATAAAAATATCATTTTTAATATAACACAAATAATTGATTTAACAAAAACTTAAGGGTAATACAATTTATTTAAAAGCAACTTTTAAGAATGAAAAGCAACCTTTGACAGATAATTTTGTTGCCCAAGTGCTTCAGTAAGTTTTTGCT